TTTAATTATTGCATTTAAGGGTCGATTGAAAAATAAAAATGTAATATTAGTAACAAGTAATTATTGATCATTGACGAATCGACTATTCATAATTATATGCACAATCACTTAATGATCAGCCAGTATTTGCTAAAAGAAGGCTAGATTGTGTGAACAATCACTGACTGTGTTATCAACCCGTTATTCTTTTCTATATTACAGCGATCCACCCACAACCACAGCGATCCACCCTACAACTACCTAGCTGAATCCTCTGTTTTTTGCTGTTCTACTAAAATAAATCTTTGATAAATATTTGGAGCGCAGGTAAACTATAATATAAGTCAACTGATATACATTAGCCAATGTATGGAGATTGGCTTGTATTTTTCTTCTTCTTCTTCTTCGTTCTTAATTTTTAGTCTTATCTGTCAAAGGGTTTGAACTCGAGAGTTTTTCGAATGTATCAACCATGAGCGTTAGCCGACTCGACCACGCCTCCATCATAATTAAGGATACGTGTCAACTGGTTATGCGCCATTGAGGCCATTGACTCCGATTTCAGCCTGCTTTTCTTTGTGGATTTGCTTCCATAGCCTTAGTTCAACCAAGAACAAACTACAAGGCAGCAGTTGTTTTGACTAGAATAGTGGCTGTCCCCAGCTAACGAGCATCAGCTGCCCGAGGGTTTGAACTCGAGACTTTTCGGTTTAGCAACCATCAGCTTTTCCGACTCGACCACGCCGACCCCTGAATTTTTCAACCACTAAAATATTTCATTACGCTTATAAATATCTTAATACTCGCACAAATGCAGCAAATATGAAATAAACGGGGAGTGATCTCCCCTAAACTTTCTCGAATATTCTTATATAACTTGGAATATAGACATGGTTTTTAATTACTTAAACTTTTAAATATAGAATCTCATCGAAAAAAGAATTGCGCATGAAGCGAACGCCAAAACAAAATGTGCATAATAGTGCGCAATATTATTAGTACTTTATAAATTTACAAGCGTTTTTTGAGAAATCGGAAATAGCGTCAATTAGTACTTCCGGTCAACGGAAATAACTCAAAATTTGACATAAGGTAGAGAATTAGATCTTTTACTTGCATGTAAAATTTCATTTATCTATCTGAAATAGTACTCAAGTTATAGGCTTTTGAAAAATTCAAAGTAGAAAAAGTACCACTTCCGGTTATCGGAAATCGCTCAAAAGTTGATACGGATCTACGATTTTGATAAAATACTTATATATGAAATTTCATCAACCTAGCTGTAACGGTACTCAAGTAATCGTGTTTACACACAGACACACACACACACACAGACACACACACAGACATACGGACAAGATTGCAAAATTATGTTTTTCCGTATCAGTGAGGTGTAAAACATCGAGATTTGTAAAAATCTCGATTTTTTTTTTGCACGATTACAATACTTTCTCTATACTTCGTATATACGAGAAAGTAAAAAGAACCGGAAAAACCGCATAAATCTAGTCCAAATTTATTCTCAAAAATCTGATATAATGATAAAACTAGGCCCTAACCTCTTGTCCAAATTAAAAACAAAAAGGCTAAAACTAGACTAACAGTTAGTCGAAAGTAAAATTTGAACAAAAATAAACCAAATTATAAACCCAAACACATACAAAACAAAACAACAGAATCTCACCAGCATATCTCAAGCAGTTAAGTTTCTCAGCAAGTGAAGAACGTCTCACTCAGCTCACCTGAATGAATACAATCGTACCCCGCCAGTGTCACCTTATATACACTACAGAAACCAATTTCATGTTGGACTTCCATTAACGTAACTAGCACATAATTACGTGATACACATCTGATGGGAGGTAACTATTGTTGTCGAGATGGAAGTTATTATATAGAGTTATCTACCGTCGCTACGACAAGAAACGAGCTGATGGTCCGATAAAAGGACATTGACCTTTTTATTGTATCAATACGATTGATTCAGGCTTGTATAACAAAAGTGTTGATTTAGGAAATAAACTGCTAATAGTCTAGTGACTGTAAACTTGCCAGCGTTATTTACTTTTTAAAACGTTATACTTTTTTAGCGAGTTTATTTAGGCTTGTGGAAAAAAAAATTAATACTTGAAATAAAGGACCAAACTCAGCAGTAACAAATTTCACTTATGTTTAAGGTCGCCCATAAGGACATCATCAATAATTTTTTGTGCCGATTGAGCATAAACAATACATAAATGTCAAGCTTTATAATAAAACACATACACACACACATACACACACACGCACACACACACACATACACACACACACGCATATATATATATATATATATATATATATATATATATATATATATATATATATATATATATATATATATATATATATATATATATATATATATATATATATATATATATATATATATATATATATATATATATATATATATTAGTTTTGAAACGATTCCATTTTAAAGCTATGTCATTTTTTAGTGTACTTTATTATTATTTTATTAATAATAATGAGAAGAAATTCAATTTAACTTGCTTAGTACAATAGTATCTTCCGATTGAGTTTATGGACAATTCCAGAGGCGTCGCGACCGGAGGGCGGGTGCGTGCGGACTACACCGGATGACACCATTTAGGGTGGTGACACCAAGGCAAAAATAGCTAAATTTATATAGAAAAAAAATAATCATTTCAGTTAGAAATTCCTTTTAATTAAGAGCAAAACTGACAAATTCCGACAAGGATAGGGGGGGGGGAGATGGGTGGAGGTGATAACATGACGTAAACATGCTAAACAGTAGAGTACGCAGGGAGGGGGAGCAAGGGCAGCGACTGCTCTCCCTACGACCATTCTAAAGATGGTCTCGCATTTTTTCGGAGAATAATTAAAAAACATTTTAAACAAGTTCCTCAAAACACACAACAAAAAAAATCAACAACAACAGCAAACACAAACTGAAACTATGAATCAAAGAGTTCAACGACTGTCATGTTATGTACTCTAAATATCACATCTTTAATAACTCATCGCAAGTATATGTACAGCCTACTTCTTGGCATACTTATCGGCGCCTAGCTCTACGCCAGGCATGTGCGAGGCGCTATTTTGCCACATTGTCCACTTAAGCGCATGTACATCTGTGGTTTGTGTTATTCCTGCTGTATATAGAACGTCAACCACATACAGATCAATCTTAACTCACAAGTGTAGTCTTTGCTTGAGTTGTCAGGCTAAATTCAGCCATCCTTTTTTATACGGGAGACCTATTATCTTTGTGTTATTGTTTACCTAAAGTGTGCTCTGTAGCAGAGGCGTAGCTGGGGGGGGGGGGGCGGGCTGCGGCCGCCCCCGGCGCCTAACCTAGGAGGGCGCAAAAAGAGATGTAATTTTTTTTTAAAAGCTGATTTTATGCTGCATTTTTTAAAATTATAAACAGTCTAAGATAAGAAATGTAATGGCTACACGCCTTTATACTGGTTTAACTGTTTTCTAACTTAAATTATTAACTGTAAAACATAAACTCTTAAGAAACAGTGAACGGCAAAACCGCTTTCCAGCTTTTCCTAGATGAGAGGGGGGGGGGGCGCTTTTTTTAGGCTTAAATAGGAAGAATTTACACTAGATTGGTAAGTGGATAAACGTTACCACTTATAAAAACAACCAATTGTATTAAAACGTATTGTACGAATGTTTAACCGTAAAATACGTTAGTGACTTTTATGAAGATGGTGCAGGGGGGGGGGGGGGGCTGCGCTTTAGGGTAACTAAAATCGCAAAATTACAATGGATTTTTAGTAAAAAAAACTTTAGCACTTAGAAAAGAAACTAATTGTACTAGAGACCATTGTACAATTGTGTAACATTTTTTTTAAAGTTAGAAAATTTAGTTACGTTAAAACCCGCTCTACAAACTTTGTCCAAGATGGTTGGGAGGTGAATGTGTGTGGGGGGGGGGGGGGTGGCTTTTTTCGCGAACAAAAATCGCAAAGTATTTGTACTGGATTGGTGAGTAGATAACTCTTTTAACACTTAGAAAAGAATCCAATTGTATTAATTCGTAATGTTCAATTTCACCATTTGGTTTTGTTTAAGAAATGACGCGACTAGTTCTTTGTAAGATTCTACGATTCCCTCAACGTCAACGTTATAGATCAGATACTTAAACTGGATTCCATTACATCTGCCTGGATCACTGTATTAAAGAGAAATAAATATCCGATCAGTAAAATAGCATACGGTTGGAGCGGGTAGGCGGGAGACGATACTCTTGCCGAAATTTTAAGAGCTTGAAACATAAGTATATTGTACTGAATAGGTTATTTTTTTATTGATTGTTTCATAACAAATCCTAAATCGAATGTTACTATGTTTTACTTAGATATTTTAGTGAAAATTTGGTTTATACATTTATATAATATTTTAAATGTTTAAATATATTCATAAATATATATTTGAAATGTTACAATAAGAAATACATGTTATTTATCAAATGTAACATTTTTTAAAATGAAGACTATAATATGAGGTCTTACAGTATTTTGCCACACCACATGTTAACGGTTAAAAATAAATGTCTGGCTATTACATGTCATTATTTAATTAATGTTCATTAATTAGAAAACGTCACTCGTGATGGGAACTCTAGTTTTCTTAAGTGGGGCAAATTGCTCTTTCCTTTTCTAGTAACTTAGATAAGTATGTTGGTATCGATGAGACAGTAATCGGTATCGTGCTAGTAACTACATGTCGGTTCTTGATGCGACTACTTTCTTATTCAAGTATATATGTAAGGAGACGATTACACGAGGAAATCTATGTGATATTATCTGATATCATGTTTCAACTTCAGACATTTATTTCTGGTCAACTCAAGCGACAAACTCATTACGTCATATCTGTTTACATGTGCATGTTGACCTTCAACCTCCTGTCAACTTATGTATGTTTTTAACTGGTCGGTATATAAGTACGAGACTATTTGACAAACAAACCAGCTATGAGAACGTACTCAGCTGAGTTGATTTTATTGCAATAGTTTAAAATGTCTGCTTTGTATTTTATTGCTGTGTTAGCCGTCAACTTATTTCTGTCGTTTGGTAAGTTCACTTTAATTATATTAGGCCTTTTATGAAAAATCAAAAATATTATAACTTTAAAAACGGAACAGTAGGATGTTAGTCGATCAAAACATGTATTAAATTAGCCTTCTTATTAATTAATTACTTAAAGGCGTTTTCGTAAGATATAGTGCATTTGTCGCATATTAAAATTACGAAACATAAATTAGTTTACTTACGAACTTGTATTGAAGTTTAACATTAAAAATATAATATAAACATAATACATTTAAATATGACTTGCCGATTAAATACGTTGTTTTGAAATGATTTGACAATTCAGAACTATGTACCACGTATCATTACAATAGAGAGAACGTGTAAGTAAAGAGTTACAAATCTGTGTTGTATTGTCCGAAAAATATTAATTTGGTATTTGCCCTTTAAAATTGTGATAACAAAACCATACGGCTGTTCGGCTGAATATAATTACTGTCTTCTTAAAAATTTAGCGTATCCGAAACGCGTATGAATCTAGTTCATTGATTTTATTAGTTAAGCTTAACAATCATCCTTTATTGTGAGAAAAACAAAATCAGAATTTTATTTTAATTAAAGGTAATTGTTTTATGTAAGCTAAAGATTTCGGAAAGATAAACTCAAAGGTAGAATTATTTCAGATCTTATGCAATACAATAGTATTTATAAAACAAAATTACAAAATTTAAAAAACAGAAAGCGACATGAATTTGACTTCAGCTTATGAAAGGAAAGTGCGTTTAGTTTTATTTCACTAAGCTTCACATCCGAAATCTTGAGTTATGTACACATAAACGTGACGTCCTTTATGGATGACCCTCGAAACCTACATATTATGATTATTTTTTTAAATAATTAAACTGAATTACAATAATTTTCAACAAAATTTAACAAGAAATGTTTTTATTGTGAAGGAACTTTGAAATTGGGTTGTGGCAAGCTCGACTGCTAACAGAAAAGTGGCGAGGTCGGTTCCCGGACTGGGGATTTTAGGACATCACATAATCTCTCTGATGTGTACACAATATTTAATTAATTGTATACATCAGATAATCTCTCTAATGTGTACAAAATATTTAATTAATTGTACACATCACATAATCTCTGTGATGTGTACACAATATTTAATTTATTGAACGCATCACATAATCTCTCTGATGTGTACAAAATATTTAATTAATTGTACACATCACATAATCTCTGTAATGTGTACACAATATTTAATTTATTGAACGCATCACATAATCTCTCTGATGTGTACAAAATATTTAATTAATTGTACACATAACATAATCTCTCTGATGTATACACCATATTTAATTAATTAAATGCTTTAGATATTTAATTTTGTCTACTGTTTTCTAGGCCTTAAAGTGGATATGACCAGAGAACACTTTTACCATGGGAAAAGTTTATTTTGTGCACAACTCCAGTGTACAGAAAACATAACAGAAGACACTCAGATGTCAGCTCTTGTCAACATGTCAGTCTATAGGATCAGTGAATCTGAAGGGAAGATTTTGTTGGCGTCTGTTTCAGGATCTGATTCAAAGGTTCGCGATTATAAAATATCTGGGAAATTATCTGAGGGCAAACTATCCAAACATCGCGGAGAACTTGTCTTGTCTTTCTCCAATACTTCAGCCTGTAATTTACACCAGTATAAATGTCAAGTATATTTTACCAATGAGGCAGGAGACACTGGAATGCTAGAGAAAAGAACAACGTCTTATGAAAGAGAGAAAATCAAGAAATCTGTTTTGTTGCTGAATTTGAAAGCTGAAACTTTGAACTACGTGAAAACTGTGGACACAATGGCCGACTTTCTGAAATCTTTTAAAGATCCAGAAAAACTAAAAGGTGCAGACATGTCAATGTCCTTACAGATGTCACATTCTGGTAGAGATGGGAACAGTGCCGACACTGCTGAGATTATATCATCTTTAGAGTTAAACAACAGTAACAAACACATCAGCTCTACTAATGCTATAGATGTGATTTGTGCTAGGATAGATAACATCACAGAACACATGCAAACAGTGAATGACAAACTTAGAGAAATAGACGTGGTTGATGCTAAGATAAATAACATCACAGAACAAATGCAAACAGTGAATGACAAACTTAGATCAATAGACGTAAAACTCAACGAGTCCATCACAAGGAACAACCAAACAAACCGTATGATAGTAGCTTTAAACACAATTGTACAAGAAAGTAAAAACAACTACAACATGAATCTTTTTTTGTCACGGACGACACTTCAGGTAATAGTTTTATTTTAGACATAAATATTATGTGAACTAGCACTGTTAAGTGTTTAATGCGAGTTAAATCAACCAATATACACTTTACATATTGTTTAGAATCATTAAATATGTGCGGGTATAAAGACTTCAAATAATATCAGTCAGTCTTTGATTAAAAGCTCATTCGTTTCTAGTCATGTGTTAAAACAAACATCTTTCTATTTATAAACAGTGTATAAAGAACGACAAAACTGATGTACCAGAACGAACGACCGTCAGACTTGGTCTAGACAAATTGGCTTTGTGCGACACAAAAACTGACGGTGGAGGTTGGATCATATTTCAGGTTGGTAAATTTATACGTTAAAATCTTTTCAAAAAATGTGATCTTTTATAGATTAGATTTGTGTTATTGCTATTTTGGGTTAAAATAGTTTATCAATATCTTGCAAAATATCCTATTTCAGAGACGTGTTTTGGGTGACGTGAATTTTACCAGAGATTGGAACGACTATAAACACGGATTTGGTTCAATGATTGGAGATTTCTGGCTTGGGAATGATTGGATCTCTAACCTGACTTTGATGGTGAGCTTAGAAAAATATGATCTCTACATACAGGCTAAAGCCATATTTAAAAAGTTAAATATGTTACACGTATTATACTTTACAGGGGTACAATGAACTGAGAATCGACATGACTCGAAAAGGTATAAAGTACTACGCCCATTACGATCATTTCAAGGTAGACAACGAAGCAGCATCGTATACGTTATACATGTCGTCATTCAGTGGAAACGTTAAAGACTATCTAAAATATCATCATGGTATGAAGTTTTCTACCATCGACAGGGACAATTGTATACACAGCGGAGCAGATTGTGCTGGAAAGCATAAAAGTGGTTGGTGGTATCATAGCTATATATCTGTATCTTTAAATGGAGTCTGGGGTACAACAGACTCTAATACAGGAATATACTGGTATGAGCTATCAAGTGATGGACATATCGCAGACTCAGTTGAGATGAAAGTACGTCGAGTGTAAACAAACTGTCTGAAGATGTTTTAAATAAAGCTATAGTTTTAAGTTGGTGTAGCTGAAGTTTCGATGTAACCTATTTATCACGTCAATTTGAATTTGTATACACACTCATTATCACTCGACTGCATTAAAATTTGTTTCATAATACATTGCTTTACCACGTACTCATATTTCTAATATTTGAAACTTTTTTTTTAATTTGGAGTTTTTGTGTGTTCATTGTTATAACTACTCAAAACAGCATCTAAATTACTGACGAATACAGTTGCGAAAATATACATTTGTCCATGGGAAATTTTGTCTGAGATATTTTGTCTGAGATCATTTGTCCTAAGATCATTTGTCCTGTCACCCTCAATTGCTTTATTAGAAGTTAGATTCTAAGAGGTAATCCAAAAACGTAACACTTTTGTATGGAGGGGTTTGGGCGAGGCAACAAGCGTTAGACTAGACGACGGGAAGGGGTTGAGAAGGTTTGAAGACACACATGCAAGATTTCCCAAACACAGGTATATACATTGTCTTCAACGGATGTTTTAAATAACTTTAATGATGGCGAAATTATAAACAAGTAGCCTATAACGTTATTGAATAAATTGAATTGAATTGATTTTGTTCTATAAATCGGTTCTTTAAATAATAAGAGCATGGGCCTTGTGCAAATTTTACATCTAACTCAAATATATAATTGGGTTTATTTGAATACTGACCTTGAAAAACTATAAACTACACCACACAAAATGTAAAATGGTGAAATCATTTTATAAAACTAGAATAAACACAGAAAAAAAAATTCATAAAAACGTTTTAATAACAAGCTTTTATGTAATGATGCACTAAAAAGTAGAAAATAAATTATAGACTACTATTTAAATAACTATAAAGAAAAGCGTGGGTCACTTTAGTATCTATTGGATACCTTTACTAATGTTAAGGAAGACACCCACGCTTTTCTTTATAGTTATTTAAATAGTAGTCTATAATTTATTTTCTATTTTTTAGTGCATCATTACATAAAAGCTTGTTATTAAAACGTTTTTTATGAATTTTTTTTTCAGTACTTTACATGTTTTATTTACAATAGAGTTACATGACTAAAAACCATTGCGCGCCTACTGAACATCAAGTTCAGTAGGCGCGCAATGGTTTTTGAACGCAGCCATTACGTGATGGCGCAGCTATTGAAGGTGATGACGCGTGTGGTGTGGTTGGCTAGACATGCCTACTAATTCGGTCCAAATTTTAATTAATTCATAAAAAATTAATTAGGCATCCAATTAAGTCAAATTTAGTTTCAGATTGCATTGTCTTCATGTCTTGACCCACGTGCCAACTGTGAATCGTTTCGGTCAAGTAGAACTGTCCGAATTTTCACTCCTGCGTTTCCGTCTAGACAGACAGACAGAGGAAGTGAGTTAAATAAAAGCTTGTAAAAAAAGAGAATGATCCGCCAAGCAGACAATACAATAAAAAAAATTTAAAGGTTTATTGATTATTGAATGTAATTAGTCACGTACGTTTTTATAACGAGTAGATGTCTTTGTGTTAGCACTTTGTTATTATAAATATTAATTAAGAAATCAAAGATGTTATGTGTAATTGTGCAAATAAAGAATTAAACTATCTTGCAGTAGGAATAAGCCACAATGACCCAGGACGTCGATCGATGTTCATTGACCTCGTATGTTTAAGTTCACCCTAGACGAGGTACGAGGCCTTTGTTGTTTTAATGGTTTTCGCAAATTTAGTGTCAGGAAGATGGACATCTCCGAAGATTACAAAGTTATCTTAAAATAGAAGCCGGTACTGAGGATTGATATAACATTCTACACATGGCAAAGCTTTAACACAGATGGGTTTAGACTATATATCTGGGAAAAGTTTAGCGACACATTGCAGCGCCCGAGGTGAAATTTCAATTTGGCTGTCCTTACAAGTGTTATCCTTTAAAAGATAATAGTGTTAGTAAACGAATGCCTGATCTGAGTTTAGTAATTAGTAGCATGGGCTAATTAGTTTAGTTCCATTTTTGTTCTGTCTTTGAAACCATCTCTACTATAATAATATTCAATAGTTGGATACAATTAAATAGCATTCATCTGACGTGATAGCAATTTGTTATCTAACCGTTGCAATGGCTGTGTAAGCTAACTCGATTGATAGGCCATAGAAACTAGATAGGAGCAGGCGTCTTTAGAAACGACAACTCCTGCACAATCATATTGCAGCATTATTAAAGTGCAGATCTGGAAAGTACGTTCATTATAATGTGCTATTATACGTAATTGTTGAAGGACTTGGAAAAAAATGTCTGTGAATTAAGTTTTGTTTTTTATCAATTTATTATACTTTGTAAAGTAGTTTTAAACAATATCATTTTGGTAATAGATCTATAGAAAGGCGTCGGGAAAGTGCACAAGTGACTATTGACCAGAATCCGACATCTTATTTACATACACGATTAGATTGGTTTTTACTTTCTCGTATATACGTAGTATAGAGAAAGTATTGTAATCGTGCAACAACAAAAAAATCGAGATTTTTACAAATCTCGACGTTTTACACCTCACTGATACGGAAAAACATAATTTTGCAATCTTGTCCGTATGTCTGTGTGTCTGTCTGTCTGTGTGTGTGTGTGTCTGTCCGTGTGTAAACACGATTACTTGAGTACCGATACAGCTAGGTTGATGAAATTTCATATATAAGTATTTTATCAAAATCGTAGATCCGTATCAACTTTTGAGCGATTTCCGACAACCGGAAGTGGTACTTTTTCTACTTTGAATTTTTCAAAAGCCAAAAACTTGAGTACTATTTCAGATAGATAAATGAAATTTCACATGTAAGTAAAAGATCTAATTCTCTACCTTCTGTTAAATTTTGAGTAATTTCCGTTGACCGGAAGTAGTAATTTACGCTACTTCCGATTTCTCAAAAAACTAATGTAAATTTTAAAAGTACTAATAATATTACGCACTATTATGCGCTTTTTTATTTCGCGTTCACTTGGTGTGCAATTAATTTGTCTACGAGATTTTATTCTATTTTTAAAACTTTAAGTATTTAAAATGGATTAAAAATCATGTCTATAGCCTGAGTTCCCATCCCTTGTTATTTTATATAAAAATATTCGAGAAAGTTTAGGGGAGATCACTCCCGGTTTATTTTTTTTACTTTCTCGTATATACGAAGTATGGAGAAAGTCTTGTAATCGTGCAAAAAAAAAATTGAGATTTTTACAAATCTCGACGTTTTACACCTCACTGATACGGAAAAACATAATTTTGCAATCTTGTCCGTATGTCTGTGTGTCTGTCTGTCTGTCTGTCTGTCTGTCCGTGTGTAAACACGATAACTTGAGTACCGTTACAGCTAGGTTGATGAAATTTCATATATAAGTATTTTATCAAAATCGTAGATCCGTATCAACTTTTGAGCGATTTCCGATAACCGGAAGTGGTACTTTTCCTACTTTGAATTTTTCAAAAGCCTATAACTTGAGTACTATTTCAGATAGATAAATGAAATTTTACATGTAAGTAAAAGATCTAATTCTCTACCTTCTGTTAAATTTTGAGTAATTTCCGTTGACCGGAAGTAGTAATTTACGCTACTTCCGATTTCTCAAAAAACTAATGTAAATTTTTAAAGTACTAATAATATTGCGCACTATTATGCACTTTTTTTATTTAGCGTTCACTCGGTGTGCAATTCTTTTGTCTACGAGATTTTATTCTATTTTTAAAACTTTAAGTATTTAAAATGGATTAAAAATCATATCTATAGCCCGAGTTCCCATCCCCTGTTATTTTATATAAAAATATTCGAGAAAGTTTAGGGGAGATCACTCCCGGTTTATTTACATAAAGTTAAATGAAATTTCAGCTATAGAAATATATTTTAATTGTTGCACAAATAAATATTAGATGTAAATTAGGCTGAATAACGTCAAACTATATGTGTACTAACAATATAAATTCAAAAACAATTTAACGAAATAAATATTACTAACGAAAATTGATCATACCATGAAATCCATGATTCTAATTAATACGCTATACCATACCAGACTCAACTCTTTAGAACTTCTCTGAGTAGAAACAAAACTGAATATATGTCTGCCCACACTAGCTCTGCCGAGATCATCGAAACAGATTAACTCTTTTTAATCACAAATCTCAACGTTTTACACCTCCCTGACTGGAAAAAAAAAACTTAGTTTTGTAACTGTAGCTGTATGTCTGTGTGTTTGTGTATTTCCCTATGTCTGTGAACAAATTCAGATAAGTTGACCAAATTATATATATATATATATATATATATATATATATATATATATATATATATATATATATATATATATATATTTATTTATTTATTTACTTATTTATATATATATATATATATATATATATATATATATATATATATATATATATATATATATATATATATATATATATGTATATATAATACGGTCAAAGCCCGAAATCTGCCAAAGCACAGATTGGCCAATATCGCCTCCCATTGACCGGTCAAAGTCCGAAACTTTACTTGATTTCGGCCTTTGGCCGGTCAGTCCGAATTAGAAGATCATCTGGCTAGGGAAGAACGGCCAAAGTCCGAATTAAAAGATCATGAACAGATTTTGGGGTTATTTATACCGTAAGGATTATGAACGTAATTCTTTATTGATTATTAATAAAAGAAAATGACAGAAACTTTAAAGTTTTTTTGTTGTATTATAGTCTCAATTAATATTATCACTTGTTACAACAAGTTGAACTTTTATGGCATTTAGAATTACATAGTTGCTTGTTATTTTTACACTTGCAGCGATTTGTTGTGCACTTGTGATTGTGATTGTTAAGATGCGATGGTTCATAGGGATTTTGTCTCAGTGCTAATAAACAAGTATACAGTTGTTTTAGAACAAAATGTTCCGTTCCTAGCTTGTAGAAACCGCCCTCGACGCTCATGACCACTGCAATGACGCTTCGGGGATCACCGCGACCTCTGTCAATATGTGGTATACGGATGCGAAAAATATCTCCCACTTCAGCTTGTTTAAAATTTGTATCTGATTTTGTTAGCATCTTAGAACTTTGAGTTTGCAAGATAGTATGAGCTGCTGACCTGTTGTCCTGATTTTTTATCTGGACATAATCTGCAAGTAATGTTCCCTCTGTACTCTTCGTTAGCTTCATTGGCTAATCCGAATATTGCATGGACATCGTTGCGACAGGATCCACAAGAATGGGCTGCACTACAATATTTTTCACAAACTACACAGAATCTGTTGGCCATATTATTGTCACGCAACTGGTCAGCATATGTGTTAGCTGAGGATGTCGTTGCATTTATAGCAACCTTCATTTCTTGTTCAATGTTCTCAAGATCTTCCTCAGTAACTAAATTATCCAGAGACTCTTGGTAGATTTGAAGTGCTAAGTCCCACTTTTGCTTTGCATCCAAGCAAGGCTTCGTATGGCGATTGTTGGATTCCTTGATGAAAAGAAAGGTTTTATATAAATTGAACTTGAGACTCTCAGCCCATTGAGCTGATTCATTTGTCTGCATCCATGTCATCATTATGTTCTGAACATCTTGGTTAGCAATTTCTACTGAATCTTGGCTTTGGCTATGCCTTGGTTTTCCGTGAACTAGTTTAAGTTCAGGCCACATGTTCTTTAGTTCAGAAATATTTTGGCAGCCATCTGGTATGTCTGCCTCTTGGTCTGACGGCCATTTTGGTCCATATCGCATTGCATATAGAATACTATACAAACAAGAGCCAAACAATACGTTACAAAGAAACCGCACCCAGAATAATGAAAACGCGATCACAACTTAGTCTGGATAAGACATTGGCCAGGACATCCAGGCCAGTGCGCGCATTGGCCGGCCAATGTACGAAATACGCTCTTAGTGGTAAGCACTTCGGGCTTTAACCGCAACATATATATATATATATATATATATATATATATATATATATATATATATATATATATATATATATATATATATATATATATATATATATATATATATATATCAATGTATGTTTGTTTGTTTGTTTGTGTGTGTGTGTGTGTGTGTGTGTGTGTGTGTGTGTGTGTGTGTGTGTGTGTGTGTGTGTGTGTGTGTGTCTGTCTGTCTGTCTGTCTGTCTGTCTGTCTGTCTGTCTGTCTGTCTGTCTGTCTGTCTGTCTGTCTGTCTGTCTGTCTGTCTGTCTGTCTGTCTGTCTGTCTGCCTGTCTGCCTGCCTGTCCGTCCGTCCGTCCGTCCGTCCGTCCGTCCGTCTGTCTGTCTGTCTGTCTGTCTGTCTGTCTGTTTGTTTGTCTGTCTGTTTGTCTGTTTGTCTGTTGTATGTATTAGAAGAATTGCTGATCCTGCTTCAAAGCAGCGTTCACAGCAGGGGAGGCAATAATAATAAATAGTCATTGGTTTGGACGCCACGGGTTGCTACTGTTGGTGGGATCGGCCCTCGTGCCTGACTAATCTGTCGCATGGTGCAGCAGAGAGATAAAAAGAATTTTAATTTCAAATTTAACAATGATCTTGTTTGTAAAAAAAAATGTGTCTAATGGATTATTAATTTTGCTAGGAAGGAGTTTAGACATACTAACGAATGTAGAGAGAGATGGGGGAGGTGAGTTGCCAGAGTGTAATTTTTAAAAAAAATATGTGTTTTTGTTTGGGTAGGGGAGGCTGGTCAGTGGTGCTAGGTTTACGGGGTTTAATAATGTAGCCGACAGGTCAACTATCAATCGGGAAACCATGTCGAATATTCTAGATGAAAATACTTTGGCTAATCTGATTTAGGTGATATAAGTGTGGAAGAAAAAATTAACATAAACTCCATAATAAAATTGGACGCTAAGCATAACTATCAGTATAAGTACATGTACCGTATTTCCAATATTAAAACAATTTTTTACCAACCTCCAACTATAGTGATCATCAACGTATACAATGAAATAAAAAATTGTTTTCTTTTATGTCAAAAATTTTCTCCAATCACAAAACAAAATTTAAATGCTGTAAAAAACTTAACTGTTCCGACGATACGACTAAATAGGCAGCCAAATTGGTGGAGTAATTTTCATTCATTTTTTTAAGTTAAAAAACACAAGCGAATTATCAGTTTGTTCAAAATTCAAAATGAATTTATACTTATAAAAAGTTTGTATTATTAATATGAGAAAGATGCTATTTGATAAATCATTTTGCAACTAATTTTGTGTCCAACAAATTGAGTTGTATACTTTCAAAACTTGCGTTACATTTGAAGCTTTAGTTATTATTGTACTAATGGTAAAGACATAAAGTCTTACGTTAATTTGTCACACCACATGTTAAAGTTTAAAAATAAAAGAACTAATTAACGTCAGTAGTTAATTAATGTTATCTAATTAGGAGAAGCTAAGTGGAAACATAAATTCTAGTTTCCTTAAAATGGGGCTAATTGCTCTTTCCATTTCTTGTTACATGGATAGTTATATTGGTATCGATCCAACAGTAATAGGTATCGTGCTAGAAACTGGATGTCTGTTATCGATGCAATTACTTTCTTGTTCAACTATTTCTGTGAGAAAGTAATCGGTATCGTGCTAGTAACAACATGTCGGTTCTTGATGCGACTACTTTCTTATTCAAGTATGTATGTAAGGAAACGATTACACGAAAAAATCTATGTGATATTATCTGACATCATGTTTCAACTTCAGACATTTATTTCTGGTCAACTCAAGCGGCCAGCTCATTACGTCATATCTGTTTACATGTGCATGTTGACCTTCAACCTCCTGTCAACTTATGTATGTTTTTAACTGGTCGGTATATAAGTACGAGACTATTTGACAAACAAACCAGCTATGAGAACGTATTCAGCTGATTTGATGTTATTGCAATAGTTTAAAATGTCTGCTTTGTATTTTATTGCTGTGTTAGCCGTCAACTTATTTCTGTCCTTTGGTAAGCTCACTTTAATTATTTTAGGCCTTTTATGAAAAGTCGAAAATATTATTATTTAAAAACGGAACAGTAGTTTGTAAGTCGATCAAAACATTAATTAATTAGCCTTCTTCTTAATTAATTACTTTAATGCATTTTTGTAAGACATAGTGCATTTGTTGCATGTTAAAATTATGAATCAGAAATTAGTTTAGGGGTCATCCATAAATGACGTCACACTCGTAGGGGGGAGGGGGGTCCGTAATTTTGTGACGATATGTGTGATGAGGGGAGGGGGGGTTCAGATGTTGCGACGTCACATTTTTGCATTATAAAAAGCAATGTTAGAAAACAAATTTTAGACGTTATTTCGCATTTTAGATAACTGTTTTAATACATTGTAATAGTTTAGACAAGATTTTAGAAAAATATCGATGTTTAAAAAAAAAAGTCAACTGCAATTTTGAGGGGGGGTTGTAGGTTGAGGTGTGACGTCATTTTAGGGGGGGGGGGGGGCGGGTCTGGCTTTTTGTGACGACGTGTGACGGAGGGGAGGGGGGGAGGTAAAAATCGTCAAAAAAAGCGTGACGTCATTTATGGATGACCCCTTACTTAAGAACTTGTTTTAAATTTTAATATTAAAATAACAATATAAACATAATACATTTAATATGACTCGCCCATAAATACGTTATTTTGAAATTATTTGACAATTCAGCTTCATACACCACGTTTTATCATTACGATAGATAGAAAGCGTATGTAAAGGGATACAAATCGGTATGGTTGATTATCCAGAAAATATTATTTTGGTTGTTCCCCTTTAAATGGACATGGCAAAACAATATGGCTACTATTCTGATAATATTGTCTACTTAAAAAAAAAATCCGAAGTATGGATCGAATTCATTTATCTTTATTAATTAAGCTTTACAATCATCTTTTATTTTGAAAAAAAAATACATTTCAGAAATTTAATTTAATTAAAGTTAATTGTTTTATGCTAACTACTCAAAGGTAGAAGGACTTCAGATCTTATGCAATACAATTGCATTTATAAAACAAAATTATAAAATTTGAAAATCACAAAGCGACATGACTGTGACTTCAGCCTATGAAAGGATAGTGCGTTTAGTTTTATTTCACTAAGCTTCACATCCGAAATCTTGAGTGATGTACACATAAACGTGACGTCCTTTATGGATGACTATCGAAACCTAGAGATTGTAGTTTTTATTTTAAAATAATTAAACTAAAGTACAATTATTTTAAACAATATTTAACAAAGAAATGTTTCTATTGTGTTTTAAATAATAAAGGAACTTCTTAATTGGGTTGTGGCGAGCTATACTGCTAACAGGAAAGTGGCGAGGACGGTTCCCGGACTGGAGATTTTAAGACATCATAATCTCCCTGATGTGTACAAAATATTTAATTAATTGAACGCATTAAATATTACGTAATTAATTTTGTCTACTGTTTTCTAGGCCTTAAAGTGGATATGACCAGAGAACACTTTTACCATGGGAAAAGTTTATTTTGTGCACAACTCCAGTGTACAGAAAACATAACAGAAGACACTCAGATGTCAGCTCTTGTCAACATGTCAGTCTATAGGATCAGTGAATCTGAAGGGAAGATTTTGTTGGCGTCTATTTCAGGATCTGATTCAAAGGTTCGCGATTATAAAATATCTGGGATATTATCTGAGGGCAAACTATCCAAACATCACGGAGAACTGGTCTTGTCTTTCTCCAATACTTCAGCCTGTAATTTACACCAGTATAAATGTCAAGTATATTTTACCAATAAGACAGGAGACACTGGAATGCTAGAGAATAGAACAACGTCTTATGAAAGAGAGAAAATCAAGAAATCTGTTTTGTTGATGAATTTGAAAGCTCAAACTTTGAACTATGTGAAATCTGTGGACACAATGGCAGATTTTCTGAAATCATTTGAAGATCCAGAAAAACTTAAAGGTGCAGACGTGTCAATGTCCTTACAGATGTCACATTCTGGTAGAGATGGGTACAGTGACGACACGGCTCAGATTCCATCATCTACAGAGTTAAACAACAGTAACAAACACATCAGCTCTACTAATGCTATAGACGTGGTTGATGCTAAGATAAATAACATCACAGAACACATGCAAACAGTGAATGACAGATTTGGAGCTATAGACGTAAAACTCAACGAGGCCATTTCAGGGAACAACCAAATAAACAGCATGATAGAAGCTTTAAACACAACTGTACAAGAGATGAAAAACGACTACAACGTCAATCCTGTGTTGTCACGGATTTCACTTCAGGTAAATGTTTTATTTCGACATAAATATTATGTGAATTAGCTCTGTTAAGTGTTTAAAGTAGAATTAAATCAAGCAACTGTGACCTACTTAGGTCGAGTCTGGTTCCATTTTTATTTTGACATTGTATAATACCTTATATGGAATGATTGTGTAACTCCTGGGGTTTTTCCACGGTCTTACCAAGGGTGTCTAAGACGTAGAAATTTTCCATTAAGATCTGATTGAATGATTCTGATCATATGACCCTCCCAACCAATGGCTACATGAGTTGAGGATGACCTCCCCTGTGGCAGAAGTCTTTAACTGCCCCGCACACTCGCCACACGTGGCAGTTTCACCTTGATCAGGCAGTCTACCAGGATCAAACGGTCCATTACGACCAAGCCGTCCATATTGTCCGGCAATAGATTCTGACCATTTGAACGTGAGAGAACTTAAGTCCTGTGTGTGCCTTGCTTTCTTAAGTTGATTTAGTCTTCTAGTATAATATTACTTGTCGCCAAGTAATTCTTGAAGCTATAGCAGTGTTGTGTGGCCTGTGGCTATTATTAGGCAGTGTTGAAATCTGTGATAGTGTTTTTCCCTACATTTTGTAAGTTGGGTTTTGATATTTTATACATTAAATATTTTATCTAGTTTAACCTTGTGTTCTGCCACAACTGTGTTCGCTTATTAAAGGTTGTATGCAGATTGGATGAGTGTTAATTACAATAGTATCACTAGTTTTCCCTAGACATCGAATTCGAGCCCTAGTGTGTCGTTGTGTTAGTGTTCATCCATTTAGGCCGTAAGGCATTTGCATATAACCCCAAAAAAAGAATCCGGGGACGTTCACCTTCTATCTGGCTGATAGATAGGTAAGCGTTACAAAGTGGGGGCCCGTACGGGATTTAATCTGTCGTTCCAGTTGTTGGTTATATCAGTAAACACTAAGTTTAGTTTGATTTAGTTGTTTTTATATCCAGTAGCGCAGTGTTCTTACAACGCGCGCAAGCATAGAGGTATCTAGGTCAATAGCCAGACGTGTCGTCCTAGATTGAAGAGGTCAAGTACACGGCCCAACGCACCGTGTTAAGTTAGTGAACCTAGGCTTGTTGTGATTTGAAAGTTAGTGTTATGGAGTCTTTTTTGGCTAATCCCACTTTTGAGCAGGTAGAAAAGTTGAGTAGAAAAGTTTTGATTAATGTTGTTAAGGAATTGAAATTGGATTATTCTGTTACGCAGAAGTCAGAGGTGTTGAGAGATAAAATTGTTGTTCATTTTATTAATGAAGGAGTATTTGATGAAAGTTTGTTGGCTGGTGTGTTACTCCGCGAGGAGAAACCTCTAGAGAAGATAGAATTAGAAGCTAGAATTGCTTTAGAGAAGGCTTTAAAAGAAAAGGAGTTTGAAACTAAAAGTGCTCTAGAGAAACAGGAGTTAGAGGCTAAAATTGCTTTAGATAAGAGGAGGTTGGAATTAGAGTTTGGTCAAGTTAGTGATGTCACTTCTCTGGTAGATCCAAAAAAGTTGTCGGTGGGGCAAGTGATTGCCAAATTTGGGAAATTAGTTCCTAAATTTGATGAAACAGATTTGGTCGTTTTCTTTAACTCGTTTGAGAGTTTAGCGAAGACATGTGAATGGCCCGAAACTTCCATTACTGCTTTATTGAGCTCGGTCCTTACTGGGAAAGCTGCAAAAACATACCAGGCACTCTCTCACGACGTTCAAAATAACTATAGTTTGGTCAAGACTGCCATTTTGAAGGCCTACGCACTGACGCCCGAGGCCTATCGGACAAAATTCCGAACACTCCGCAAGTTACCCACTCAATCATATGTGGAATTTCTCTTTGAAAAGGAGAAAATATTCTCAAGGTGGCTACACTCTGAGGAAGTTTCTGAGTTTGAGAAACTCAGGTCACTTATCCTAAGGGAAGAATTCCTATCGTCCCTGCCTGAAGAGATACGACTACACATACTGGATAACAAGATAATTGACATCCAGAAGGCTGCTGAGTCGGCTGACACATATATGTTGGTGCATAAGAAACCACCAGTGTCAGGAAACCGCCTCAACCCCGTGCTTCCCCTTTTTGGCAGCAATCCTCCTGTTGGCCAATACTTGAAGGCATCACAGTCCAGAGAGAAACCAAGATCAACTCCCAATCGTCGAGCGGTATGCCAGTTCTGCAAAAGACCTGGTCATCTTGTCAAGGACTGTTACAAACGTCGTCAATATAACAGAGAGGTAGTGCGTACTTCCGCGCACTATGCTCTATCCCCTCAAGCAGCCAGCTCAACTATGAACTCTAGAATTCTAAAGGACTCTAACCCTAAGTGTCCGCAAGAAGGTAGTCAAATTTCCACGCATTATGTACAGTCACATTTTGACTGTTCTCGCCACCATCCAGTTTCTTCCGAGTCTACCGATCTCGAGGGATCGAGAAAAGTTGACTTTTCATCTTTTATTGCCGAAGCCATCATTAGCAAACCAGGTGATCCGTTGTCTCAGCGGAATATCACCGTCCTAAGAGACACAGGAGCGTCACAATCACTCCTTTTGAAAAGTTCAATGGACATTACACCTGAGACGAACACCGGAAGGATTTCCATTATCCAGGGAGTGGGGACAAAATCAACTGTCGTCCCTTTACACAAGTTTGCTCTGAAACATCATCTCGTCGAAGGTGAGGTCATTTTAGGTGTGATAGATAGTATTCCTGTCCCAGGAGTACACCTACTTCTAGGGAATGACCTTGCGGGAAGCAAAGTATACCCCTGTACGGTTTCAGACCCTTGGTCAACAGTTCCAGATAATGATTATGAACTGTATCCTGCATGTGCGGTGACAAGAAGCCAGACCAAACAATTGGCTGACATAACGTCTGAACCACACCCGCCATCATCGTCAAGAAATTCGACTCCCAAATTGGAGTCTATGCTTCCAGAAAACACAAGCCTGGGCTTACCCCTGAGAATATCTCAGGAAGACATCATTAAAGCTCAACAAGTCGACGCGGAACTCAAAGCAACGGTCGAAAAATCTCTATCATCTGACGATGGAGAATATTTCTCCGAGAACGGCCTCTTCTTTCGTCGCGCTATACCAGTGAATGCCTCACCAGCCGAACCATGGTTGGGTAAAAACCAGCTGTGGGTCCCTCCACCTTATCGGCATGAAATACTTAAGCTGGCACATGACCATCCAATGTCAGCACACCCAGGAGTCACTAAAACGACGGCGAAGATCAAAGAACTGTTCTTTTGGCCCAAAATGAGAAATGATGTGTCGCGGTACTGCAAAAGTTGCACGAACTGTCAGTTGGCCGGAAAGCCAAACCAGACAATTCCTAAGGCCCCTTTGAGTCCGATTCCTGTATTAGAAGAACCTTTTTCTAAAATCGTCATGGACTGTGTAGGTCCCTTGCCTAAAACCAAGGCGGGCAACGAGTACCTACTTACCTTTATGTGTTCAAGTACCCGTTTTCCCGAGGCGATTCCCTTACGGAACATTAAGGCAAAGACTGTAGTCAGAGCCATGACCCGGTTCTTCACTACCTTTGGATTACCTAGAATCGTGCAAACGGATCAAGGCAGCAACTTAACCAGTCACCATTTTCAGGAAGCACTAGCCAAGCTAGGCGTTACCCACATCACTAGCTCAGCCTACCAACCTCAGTCTCAAGGCGTACTTGAGAGGTTCCACCAAACCCTCAAAACCATGCTAAGAACGTTCGCTAACAGTAACACCCAATGGGATGAGTCTGTTCCTTGGATTATTTTCGCCGCGAGGGACTGTGTCCAGGACTCTTTAGGCTACTCGCCTTTTCAACTTGTGTTTGGACATTCTGTCCGTGGCCCCCTGAAGCTGATCCACGAACGTTGGACAGGTACCAGTGATCATCCTGTGGAAAACTTTGACGATTTTCACGTTCGACTGAAAGCCGTGTGCGAAATGGCTCACAAGAATTTAAGAAAGGCCCAAGTGAGAATGAAAGGACTGTATGATAAGAGTTCTTGTAAACGAACATTCAATCCAGGCGACAAAGTTCTTGTGCTAGTGCCTAATCTGAACAATGCGTTATCCTTGAGATATTGTGGACCCTTTACTGTGCATTCAAAATTAAGTGATTTGAACTATGTTGTCAATACGCCCGACAGAAGAAAGAAACAGACAGTGTATCATGTTAACTCACTGAAAAAGTATTATGATAATTGTAACAATTTTCATTCCACAGCTAAAATTACTTTACCTGTATGTTCAAATGTTTCTGATGATGTGATACATGATAAATTGAAACCCCCAAAATTGGTAAATTCTTCCTTTTTAGATAATTTGAATGTCCACCTTATGCATTTGTCCACAGAGGAAAGCCATAGATTGTCTCAATTATTCGAGACATTTCCCTCTATTTTTGGGGATGTCCCCAAAGAAGCGAAGGTACCCCCTCATGATGTAGACGTAGGTGACGCAAAACCCATTAAACAACACCCCTATAGAGTTAACCCGGAAAAAGCTGTTTTGATAAAAGATGAAATTGATTATATGCTCAAGAATGATATCATTGAGCCCAGTTTCAGCAACTGGAGTTCCCCATGTCTCCTAGTACCGAAAGACGGTAGATCTTTCAGGTTTGTGACCGACTTTAGGAAGGTGAATGCGCTCACCAAAGCTGATTCCTATCCTTTACCTCGAATAGAAGACGTTATTGATAAAGTTGGTCAGGCTAAGATAATTTCCAAAATTGATTTACTTTCAGGATACTGGCAAATCCCCTTATCTGACCGTGCTAAAGAAATATCTTCTTTTGTAACCCCTAATGGTTTTTATAGATACAAACGTATGCCTTTTGGTATGCGCAATGCTGGTCAAACTTTCCAGAGGGTCATTAACTCTGTCATTGCTGACATAGACCAATGTGAGGCCTACATAGATGATATAGTTGTATTTTCTAATACTTTTGAAGAACATATTGTTCAGTTGACTAACCTTTTTAGAAAATTGTCTGAAGTGAATTT